AGGCAAAGGCAGAGAGAGGAGAGGAAGGTCTTCCAGCCGATGGTTCACTCCTCAAATGGCAGCAGTAGCCAGAGCTGGGCTGATCTGAAACCAGAAGACAGGAGCTTCTTCCGGGTCTCCTATGCAGGCGCAGGGGCCCAAGGACTTGGGCCATTTTCTGCTGCTTTCCCAGGCCATAGCAGAGAGCTGGATTGGGAGTGGAGCAGCCAGGACTCAAACCCAGGTTCCTATGAGATGCTGGCACTGCAGGCGGTAGCTTTACCTGCTATGCCACAGTGCTGGCCCCAGCTCTAGATTCTTTTGAATACCTTGGTATTTGTTTAGCTGGGGTGGAGCATTCTAACACAAAGAAATGTTTATAGACATTATATATATTACAAATGCCTGGAACAAAGGTATATAAAATATATTGGGAAATTAAAGGAGATTGAGGTATATTAAAGTATATAAATGAAATTTTGTCTCTCATTAATCTGACTGTACCCCCCAAAGTGGTACTGAGTGAAACATCAGAAAAATTTCTACTTTGATAACCAAATTTGAGGAGGAATGATAAAATTTTTTTTGACCCCATTGGAGGTTAAATGATCAATTATCATAAAAAGATAGAAAAAAATCACTTTTCAAATTAGAATATTTGTTTCTTTTTGATGTAGCAAATCTGGATTGTTCTTTAGAAGAATCTGAGTCTCTGAGACACGGATTTGAGTTTTTAAAATAGCAAAGAACTGTAAAACATGATCGTAACGGAAGGGCCCTTGTCCTCTACCCTGTGAGTGGGGAAACTTGACCCGTGAGGCAAGATGATGTCCGGAAGTGTTTGCTCTCTGGCTTTGTTGCAGTGGTTCTCCTTTTCTTGAATTTTAGTAAGTGTATAATCTCAGTTCACTTTTGAAAGGCAGATCACAATGCCAGGTGTCAAGTCCACAAATCAGTCCTCTTCTTAATTACCAAAGTTTGACATGTCCCCATGTTTGTCTCAGAAAATTCTAAACACTCTTTTATTAGCAGGAGGGCATTAAATTTCCTATGTAGACAAATTAACTTTTAGATTATAAGAGAAACAAATGAAATAGAAACCATGGGTAGAATGGGGGAGGGGCCAGTTCCAACTTGAAGCCTTTTCAAACTAATCTGTCTCCTCCTTTCTTCTATAGTTTTAAGACCTTTTCCCTGTTTGAATTCATAATCTGGTTATTGTCCTCTCTGAAGAGCTGATTTTGGTCAGCAGCTCTTTAAAAAAAAGTATTCCTTATTAAATTGGAAGAGGTTAAACATAGGTGATTATTGAAGAATCCTTAAAACCGTGTAGTTACTATATTTGGGCAATTCTCAAAAATAGAGGGGAATTCTGGGGATTGAAAGCATTTTCTTTTAAAACATAGTGATTTATTCAAAAGATAGACACAGAAAAACACAGAGAAAGATACCTCCTAAATGCCCACAACAGCCAGGGCTGGCACAGGCTGAAGGTAGGAGCCCGATGTTCAGGTGGGTCTCCGATGGGTGGCAGGGACCCAGCTATGTCAGCCTTCGTCCACTGCCTCCCTAGGTGCCCAATAGCAGCAAGCTGGAATGGACAGTAGAGCCAGGAATTGAACCCAGGCACTTGGATATGGGACGTGGGCGTCCCAAGTGGCAGCTTAACTGTTGTGCCAAATGCCTGCCCTGAAAGATTGTTCCTTAAATAAGATTAGCTTTTTAAAAATAAAACAAAGTAAAAGGATGTGAATTGATTTAGAATAAAAAAGACAAATTCATAGGCTAAGGAAGGAAAAGGAAAGAACATATTTTGTAGTCAAGCCAAATTTATGGCAACCCTCAGAGTGGGTTTAAAACTGAGTATCTTCCACTGAAGTTGGTGATGGCAAGTTCTGGTTTTCAGACACACACAGGTGTACACACGAATGTACATACACGCATGTGCATGTCTCCAGTTACCTCAGAAATGACAAAATAACCTCCAAATGAGTTTAGAGGTTTTTTTAAAAAAAATATTGGAGAGCAAAGAGAGGGAGAAAGAGAGGGAGAAGGAAAGAGAGAGAATACACGCCCATCTACTGGCTCCCTCCTCAAATACTCCGAAGGGCTGGGTCCGGGCATCCGGGTCTCCTCTGTTGGTGGCAGGAACCTGACCACCTGAGCCATCACTGCTGCTTCCCATGATCTGTGTTGGCAGGAAGCTGCAGTCCCAAGTGGACTTGGGGACTGAACCCAGGCACACTTTGATATGGAACACTGGCGTCCCAACTGGTATCTTAACAGCTCTTTCATGAGTTTAATTTTGATTCAGAAATAAAGATGCCATATATCCACTTTTTTTTTTTTTTTGATGGAAAAAGGGGGATATGCAGAAGGCCAAATTTCAGAGGAAGTGACAAGTTCAGACACCTTGCGCACAATGTGCAGAGGCAGGGTCTGTCTGTACTTGGGTTCCCATGTTCCCTGCCCAGCACAAAGGCCGATGTCTGCTTCCCCAAGGATTAGGCCTGTTTCTGACTCCTGAAGGTTTATTTACTGAGTTTGGAGAGAAACTACAGCTCCTTCTCTTTTCTTTAGCTTCTTACAGTTTAATAATTTCATGTCCCAGGAGTGTTTGAGCAGAAAAGAGCTCTGAATATTTATACATGTGCAACAATCCAAGAAGGTCTCTGGAAAAAAAAAAGTCTTTGAATGCCTTTGGTTTTCAAGATTTCACTATTAAAAAATCCCCCACAAATTTAGTTTTCATGGAGAAGAGTAAATACAGTGTAGCCTCTGAATTCAGGACACTGAATTATGGCTGGAAATGTATAAGTGGATGACTTTTTCTTCCTTGTGTGGTTCTTACTAATTGTAGAAAAATACATATACTATTCCTTCCTTCCTCACAGAAAACATTATTTAGAAATTCTTATGTAAAGCTAATTTGCCGTGAGGAATATAAAGCCTTTTAATGGGATATCCAGGTCCCTGTGGGATTTTTTTTTTTTAAACAGACACCATGTGGTGCAATCTGTTATAGTCTACAAGGGGTGGGGGGAGCTCGGCAGGGGCCAGGAATAAAGTCATCTCTGGGAATTTTTGAGGTATTAAGTAAAATAGGAAAAATGGTACAGCTGAAAGCTAGAAATACCTTCCCTTCTGCCCTGAATGTTAACCCAGGATGTATTAACCGTACGCTGTTTTCTAAAAAACTATTTAGCATTAGTCAGTTTAGGGGAGGAAAACCCAATCTTTCCCGAGATGGTGAAATTGCCATTCATTTTGTATTTTAATCTAACCTACTGGTGATTTAATTTACAGATCTCAAAGGAAGTGTACGCTCAAATATTTGAGGACGTTAACGTATCAACCACTGTTTAATTTTGGAATGTGCCTACTTGCTTGACACAATATTTTACCATCTAACAAATGTTTAGCCTTTTTTTCACTTGACTAAAGAGAAATAAGTTTCACATTGCTTCATTCACCTTCTTATGTGCATATGCTGGGAAAGATTGGATGTTAAAAAAAAAAAAAACTTCCTCATGTTCCTTTCTAGTACATCTAAATCTGTTTACCAATTCAAAGCTGCTAAGAAAACCTGCATTCTCCTGCTAAATCAACTGGATGGCTAGAAACCAAACTGTAATGTAACAGAAAAAAAACTTATCAATTTATGTTCATGACAGAACATGCTTGAGAAGGTATTAAAATTGTTCTGGCCGCTATGCCAGTTTTTTTTCTTCCTTTCTCTGTCTTCTTGTTTGAAAAGGCTTGCAGCTTTTAAGCTGATACTTTTTATGGTTATATAACAGTTCTAATATTTTGTGACATTTTGTATTGTGACACTATAGATGAAATTGTCATCGGACTGACACCCTGTGCTGTTTATTCCTTAATTACAACTGTTAACACTGTAGAGAAGTGTGCTAATCTGCCAGCACATATTATGAAAACAACATTATTGTTACCCACACCAGCACCCACTCCACAGGGTATCTCCAAGAGAGTAGTTCAGAGGAACTCACAGCCCAGCGAACGCTGCGATGTAGCTTTTTTGGTGTGTGTGTGTGTGTGTGTGTGTATGTTTAGCTTGTCCTATTGTCTTCTTTGCAGAACACAAATCACTGGATTCAAACATGGGACTGGGAGATAGCATGACACCCTCGGGCAGCAGAAGCTGTCTCTATAGCTAGACAACCAGAGGTGCTTTATCCCCACACAGTGCTCAAGCAGTAGGAGACTGAGGAAGCTCAGAGCTGCTTAGGGTTGTGACCCAAAGCTTTCTGACACTTTTTTTTCCAGACATAATGAAAACAGGAGAGTGAAGGAAGGGTAAGTTTAAAGATGAAAAAATGAGAATAAGGTTATTTGCATTCACCAGGTTGCCAATCCCTAAATAACAATGTCAAAATCCAATAACTGTCACCAGTTGTAATAGGTCTCCTATTCCAGTACAAAGTCTGTGCCATCCCTAAACTGGCTACTTATCAGATGCATTACAGTTCACTGCTGGCCACCGCCAGAGCTTTTGAAGGTTTGTTGGTGTGTGAGGCACGCATGTTAGGCACCTATTTCCTGATAAACACGATCAGACTAAAGCCAGTCTTCATTTGTCACAAGGAACTGCAATATTAAGCAGACAACCCCTCTGGTATTGTACCTTGTCCCCACAATAAAACAACTGAAAAGTAAAGATTCCAGAAAACTTAAACTGACAATCAGAACTGTTGAGATGAGAATGATTGTAAATGAAGTTTTAAACAATACACACAACACTGATTTGAAGCTTACTTAATAAACAGAGTGCATAGTTTTCTTTTTTTAAAATAGGAGTAGGGAATAGTATTTCTATTACCTTTGAATATCAGTTTTATTCTTCCTTGGGTTTGGTAGAGAAGAAATTCATGACTTTAAAACACAAGTAACTGATAACCTGAGATTCCCCAGTAGATTTCCATATCTGCATTGTCATGTAGGAGGTAATGAAAACAGTAGGAACATAAAAATTCCCAAAGACCTCCCGGTTACCTACATATGCTTTAACATTAGGCTTTATTAAGCAAGTTTTCTGGAACAGCACGTGAAGAAGTTATCACTCTGCTTCATTCTCAATGTTTTTTTCTGCTTCTTTTTGACTTTCAACACCAACAGGATATGGTGCTCTTCCTAAAAGAAACTGTTCCCATTTGGGAATATATTCTTCTACTGATGCCCAGTAACGAGTCTGGAAAAAAAATTCAAAAGTAAAAAAGCATATCAAGCAATTGAACTTGGCTCTTCATAATAGTCTAAATGTTTATTCACTTAAGTGTGTGTGTGCGTGTATACACACACACACACACACACACATACGTAGAATGCATTTCCTCTACAGAATATTTTATGTTAATTTTAGAAAAAAATCTGGCTACTTACTAGTGTTAATTTTCAAATTTCTCAGTAAAACCGGAGCCTGGCAGAATTACAGGTTTTAGAATTTTATTGTGATTTTACACGCCCTCTTGTGGCCAACCTTGGGATTATTGCCAATAGTACTCTTCATGGCTACACAGCATTAAATGTTTTTGTTTAATGTTACAAATCCCATTTCATACGATTACGCATACTAAAAATTTTACAATGAAATGACTAAACACGAACAAATGAACTAAAACCAAAATATTTGACCTGGGATAAGATAAGGAACTGAAATATAACTAGTATGTTACAGTTTAGGTCTCTGCTAAATTGGCACCTTAATTGTGTGGGACACACAAATCCAGGATATCTTTGGAAAGAACACTTGCCATGAAAAATTTTAATTTTTCCCATATATTTTTGTGATGAGAAAACAGCAATGAAAGGTAACCATTCTAAAAATAGAAATAGCTTACAAGTTGAGATGGCATGTTATTGGTCTAACACTGGTGGTCTGTAGGCTATGGAAATCAAGCTGTGTCCAGGAGCTTTGATGGTTTCTTGGGTGACTGCCTTAAGGAGGCCAAAGAGAACCATACTGCCCAAGCTCTGTGTCACAGGAGGGCATTTTGTACTTTATCAGCACTGTCACTCTCATTTTAAGAGAATTTGGCCAATAAGGTAGATAGCAGTAGGACCACTTACTAATTGACTGTGAGCGTCAAACAAAGTCCAGTGGTTCTGAGCGATGAAAATGGTGAGGGGTTCCACATATCTCTGTCTATGCATGTGGTCTCAGAAACAGCCTGACATAGGTACAGTGAAGTTCATCCTGGGGTGTGAGGCTGGTGCCTGGGAGTTTCTTCGCCATTCATGACTGCATTAACCCCTATTGTATGGGCCCTGTACGTGCCAGAGGAAGGTATTGGGGAATCCAACAAAGAAAAAAAGCATGCCCAAGGCACAACTTTGTACCAGACTTTTTTCTATCCCTGATCGCTGCCTTTTCTTATTATCCTAGATGACACAGAAAATTGAGGGGCAAATTCTCAGCCTTTACTTTTGAGTCTATTCATATTCCTAGTTGGATGGACAGCAAAATGGTATCTGAGAAATGTCATTAAAACTACAAAATGCAATTCTTCTATAGGTAGTAAGTTCCCATTCATCACAAATACATTCATACACCAAATATGGTTTATTTTTGCAAGCCGTCTTACCAATCTGTTCTTCAACTGAGCAAAACAAAACAGACAAAACTCATACTATATTGTATGATACTATGTATTTAAATAGCTTTGGCTTCGGTTAAGTTTTTTGTGAAGGGGACTGAATTCCTGTTTCTAACACTTCCATTAAAAAAGAACTTTGGTTCATCATGCTGTCATCTGAAGATTTAGTGCACTGTTTTAGCTCTACAAGGATGGTTGTTTCTAAGTGACAAAGGATGAAGACAGGGGATCTTCATCAAATTTCCCCTGGTAAAACATAATTTCAAATCCAGATTTTCTCAATTACCTACTACGTAGAAAAGCATGGATCTGTAAGGATCAAATACATCTTGTTTATTTTAGGAAATATGTAAAGCTGGGAAATAGACGTGCATGTAACCACTGTTTAACTTAACAGTGCACTACTATTAGGGTAGGGTCTCTCTGAATGCGTTCCGAAAGATTCTTACCTCAAGAGACACCACCTCAGGCCGTGGAAGTGGGTGAATCCTGGTCTGCAGCGACTTTTCAGCTGTTTCTATATCCTGTAACAGACATCAGCATTTTAAAACCAAAATGCGTTTACTACCAATGACAGCTGTACTACCAGTAAACACACCCCAGATCTCTCACCTCCTCCCTGAATGCACAGTTGGAACTGGTGGAAGGACACTGGGAGGGGAACTGATGACTGCTCGAGGACCCCGCTGCGAATCAAGAGTACAGGTCTTTGTTTTGCTTTTTTTTTTTTTTTTAAATTTTAAAATAGGAGGAGGGGAGTGATATTTCTCAGTTCTGCCTTTTCACTTTGAATAGCCAGTAAATTCGTGCAAATATGGCATCTTCTAAAACTGCTCAGAGCGTGCATTTAGCTATAAAACCGCTTGAAAACTGCCAGAAGGGTAAAATGATCAGCTGTTCAGATAAGAAAATAGTGACATACTCAGACCCACAATGTGCTAACCTTAGAGTAACGAGTTCAAGTGCCTCCAGATGATGTCTACGGTATACCAGTGGCATGCATCTCATCAGTTCTGCCTGCCATTGTACGATTGTATACCTATGCAAATATTCCACATTACGAAAAGAAGTTCAGGGAGGTACCTCAATACTTTTTCACTGCATTATATAGATTTTAAGTATAAGGGTTCTACACTCATTTCAGTGACAAGTTTTATTGCTTGGCAGTACATCACTCAGCTGTTGGTATTCAAGTACTGTGCTTTAGTTCAACTTGAATGTGTGTGTATGTCTTCAAATGGTTGTAAAAACACCAGAGTAACTAAACTTAATTCCTTCCCTGGTATAATTTTTACCTTGATACATGCATGGAGCACACGCCAGAAATGTAGAACTCTGCAAGTTGTTATGGAAACATAGGAGCTCAGTTTAATAACCACTCCTCAGTTCAGTGCCTATGTTGTCTTGTGCCCAATTATTTTGTTTGTCAAGTTCATGGAGGCCTTGGATGAAGCCTGTGTAAATTCTCTCTCTCCTTAGTTGATAGAAAGGAGAAAATTCCAAGATCCATGCACAAACACTGGAGCAATCTAAGTAGAGGGCTGTTGGACAGACGGAGAGAGATGGAAAGGGCGTGGGAGTGGGGTGTGAAGAAGCCAATGCTGAACAGGAGAAAAGAGATAGCAGATGGTAGCGGCGGGAGCAAGGAATGGGTGTGAAATATAAAAGGGAAAAACAGGAAATTCCCTAAAGGGACTCCCCAAAGTTGCACTACCATTAATGCACCTGCTGTCTAGAGGAAGGTGATTTGGAAGGGGAAAAAAAATCAATTTAGGGATAAAAAGCTGATCCATTAGCACGTCTATCCCATGGCAGAAGTTTACAGCTAAGACACATGCTAAATAGCTTTACTGCCAATGCTACCACAACTACAGAAGCCTGACTCTTCTCTGAGCACACTGAGATTTTAGAAATTACACAAATTTTTATTATTTGAGAGACAGAGAAAGGGGGAGGGAATGAGATGGAGGTGTGAGAAAGAGCGAGAGCAAGAATACTCTCATCTGCTGGTTCAGTCCCCAGATGCTCCCAAGGGCAAGACCTGGGGCTAGATGAAGTTGATAGCCAGGAAGTCAACTCAAGTCTCCCACAAAACTGGCAGGAACTCAATCACCTGGGCTATCAGCACTGCCTCTCAGGTTCTGAATTAGCAGGAAGCTGGAGTCAGGAGCTCAAGCAAGGCGTGGGACCCAGGCACTCTGATCTAGGACACACGCATCTTAACTGGCATCTTAACCAAAGGCCCGCCCTCGAATAACTGATTTTTACTCTTACAAATCCGATAAACACAGTAATAACCACAGCAACATTCAGCTATTATTCTGTGAACAGTTATAAAGCTACTGGGAAATCTAGCACTAGTAGATAATACAAAGGTATTTCAGAAAGCTGGTGGAAATGCAACCAAAAGCTAAGTTTATCTGGGTGCCTGCTGTTGTGGCTCACTGGGTTCAGCTACCGCCTGCAATGCCAGTATCTCATATGAGCACTGGATAGAGTCCCGGCTGTTGGACTTCTGATCCAACTCCTTGCTATATGCCTAGGAAATCAGTGGAAGATGGCCCAAATGTTTGGACCCTTGCTACTCACATGAGAGACCTGAATGGAGTTCCAGGCTGCTAGCTTTGGCCAAGCCTAGCTCTGGCCATTGTGACCATTTGGGGAGTGAACCAATGGATGGAAGATCTCTGTCTCTGACTCTCTCTCTCACTCTACTTTCAAATAAATGAATAATTTTTTAAAGATAAGCTTATTGGGGTGCAAAAAATTCTAAAAACCAAGCACAGTTTTTTTGTTGTATGCATTTTCAAAAAATATTTTAAAATTTGGTATTATAAATTATTTTCTTCAGCATCATGTATAAAGGATATTGAGTATCTCTTAGAGAAGAGCAGGGTTGCTATCACCCCTCTGAAAAACTTTATTTGCTTAAGTAATATTTTACTTTCACAGATTTTTTTTTAAAGATTTACTTACTTGAAAGGCAGAGTTGCACAGACAGACATGTATCTTCTGTCTGCCTAGTCCACTCCCCAAATTGCTCCAACAATTTCCATGAGCTTCTTCGTGTTCTCCCATGTGAGTGCAGGGGCCCAAGCATTTGGGCCATCATCCACTGCTTTCCCAGGCGCATTACCAGGGAGCTGGATCAGAAGTTGAGCAGCTGAGACCCACATTTGCACCCATATAGGACGCTGGCATCGCAGGCAGTGGCTCAACTCCCTGCAACTCAGTGCTGGCCCCCTTTCATAGACATAGAGCTTACCTCTCTGATTCCTCCTTCTCTTTCTCCTTAACTGGCTCATCTTTCTCTCCTTGCTCCTAAGTGTGGGTTTTCTTAAGATTTGTGACATCTGGCTTCATATTTTTTTCTTTATCTCCTTCCAGACTGTCTCTTATCTAGCTTCAACTAACCATCACTGTTGAGGGATGGCTAAGTGTTCCTCTGAGCCTGTTTTTCTCAACTCGATAAAAGTAAGCTTATCTTCTTCCTACTGAACATATTGAATCAAGGTTGGTACAAATGCTGTCACCCAGATAACTATGCTGTATCCTCTGTCTTTAACTCTTATTCCCTGCCACTTACAATGTCAAGGCTGTATAGACTGGGCCTTCAGGATATCTTCTCTACCCTTTTCCAGTTCATTCCCAGTGAAGTCCTTCTTAGAACATAGAGTCACTCAACAAATACTTCGGGAGTGCTTGTTCTCAGTCAAGCCTAGAGTGTATTTTGTTTAGTCCATGATTAACATGAAATTGATCAATGTCTCTAGGGAACCACTTTAAATATGTCTTTGCCTAAACAAAACAAAACACATTGGTACCCATCACATAGGAGAGGAAGTGTGAATTCCTTAACCCAAATGGGAAAAATAATCTCTGATTTTAGCTCAGCCTTCTGTAGCAAGTTCCATCTTATTACTGCCATGTAAATACCTCTTTTTTGACCATACATGGCCAGAAGGTAAGGACCATGTCCCATATAAACGTTATGCACCTTAGTATCTAACAAAGTGCAGGGCATGTACTGGGCACTTAAATATTCATTAAATAAATAAAGACAATGGCAGGTTCCTGAATTAAACCAGAAACTTAAAAAAAAAGACGAAAACCAAAACACACATGCCCAAGGCATGGCAAAGGAATAGGAAAGGAAAAAGGTGACAGGAAGAGAGGGACTTTGTTATACTTGATGACTTTGTTTAAAAGGTTTGCCATTCGAAGGGAAGAGGGAGCGGGAGAGGGGAGGGTTGCGGGTGGAGGGAAGTTATGGGGGGGGAAAGCTATTGTAATCCATAAGCTGTACTTTGAAAATTTATATTCATTAAATAAAAGTTAAAAAAAAAGGTTTGCCATTTGACCATTCACAATTCTATAGAGCAAACAAAGCAATTCCTAAGAACTGAAGTCAAATGAAACCAATCTGTTATCTATTTGGTAGCTTAAACACATATTAAGTATTCTCAGAACATAGTATTGACTGAATCTGCATACTTGGATATAGCCTAAAAACAAACTATATCTTACTAGAATCCACTCTCACTAATCCAATTGGTGATGGTAATGATATCTATATCATTGGATAAAGCAAATAGCATAGCCCCCTTTATTTATGCCTTCATGATTCATTTACCTGTGGTCAACTATGGTCCAAAAATATTAAATGGAGACTTCTGGAAATAAAAAAAAATTTTTTTGAATTGCATGGCATTGCAAGTAGTGTGATGAAACCAAACTGTTCATGCTGCCTGAGGCATGACTCATCCCTCTGTCCAGCTTAGCTATGCTATACATGCCCCCTGATCATTAGTCACTGGGTTGCTTGGGATGGAGGATCAACTGTGGCAGTCTTGCAGTGCTTGTGTTCAAGGAACACCCAGCAGCCCAACACCATGTCACAATGCCCATGTCATACCCCAAGTTCCTCTCATCATGCGGCTATCATGTTATGATGTGACTTCACATCATGACAAGAAGGAGGGTAACAAGTACAGTAAAATCAGATAGGTTGAGGGGCAGATCATAGTTACTTTTATTACAGTAGATTATCATAACTGCTCAATTTTATTATGTTACTGTTGCTAATCTTTTACTGTGCCTAACTTTTTTTTTTTTTAAGATGTACTTATTTCTTTGAAAGGCGGAGTTAGAAGTATTCCATTCACTTGTTCACTCTCCAAATGGTTGCAATGGCCAGAGCTGGGCCAATGTGAAGCCAGGAGCCAGGAGCTTTTTCTAGGTCTCCCACGTGGGTGTAGGGGCCCAAGTACCTGGGCTGTTTTCCACTGCTTTCCCAGGCCATAGTAGAGCTGGATCAGAAGTGGAGCAGCCAGGACTGGAACTGGTGTCCATATGGGATGCCAGCACTGTAGGCAGTAGTTTTATTGGGTACACCACAGCACAGCCCCCCACTATGTCTAACTTATAAATTCAACTGTGTCAGAGGTATGTATGTATAAGAAAAAGCAGTATAAATAGGGTTTTGTACTATTCTCAGTTTCAGGCATCTGCTGGGGGAGTCTTA